CAAAGGGCGGGGCAGTTAGTTTGTCATTCTCCGAGGCCAGCCGTGGTCACCTATGAGTTTGGCGCCATGTGTCCCTGGCCACTGAGCGGAGGGTGGCTGTGACTAGGCGTTACAGCAAGTACAACCTCCAGCAGCTGCCATCCCTCACTTGTCAGCACAAGATGCGAGGCCCAAGCGGTTATTTTCATACACAGAAGGGTGCAGAGAGCTTCTTTCCAGAAAGGAAGGGGGTGGGTTGCCAAAGACTTAGGAGTATTCACTTAAAACAAGCAAAAACCACAAAAAAGGGATTCTACATATAGAACCCACTTGGAGCCGACCAGTTGCATTATCTGCTGAAGAATGAACTCAGCACGAGGGAGGTCTGTTTGAAATTCTTGGTGCAGCTTCACTTAGAAATACAGCTGCAAAATGCCTTTCTGGGGGTGGAGTTGGGGCGCATATAGCTTGGCGGTACAGCGTGTGCTTAGCATGCACGAGGTCCTGGGTTCAATCCCCAGAACCTCCATTAAAAGAAAAAAGTAAATAAATAAACCGAATTGCCTCCCCCATCCAAAAGAAAAAAAAAGTGTGTTGCAAAGCTCTTCTCGCTGGACTCTGTGCCCCTACCTTGGTCACCTGGGGACTGTTCTCAACTTAAGAGCCACAGGAACCACTTGGCTAAAACCACCCTTCTCCCCCTTTGATTCAGAGGAAAAGCCATGACCTAGAAGGCCCCATCTGACCCATCTCTCATTCCCTCTCTAACCTCATCTCCTAGGGTACTCGGGATGATCCTTGAGTCTGCCAGGAATGACAACGTCTGTCTCCTCTGCCAGAAATGCTCTACTCCACGCAGCCCCAGGCTGTCCTCCGACCTCCTTCAAGGCTCTGTTTACATGTCACGCTCTTAAAGAGCCCTTCCGTGCCCCGCCCACCAAAAACTGCCACTCACCTCCCCACCCCCCAAGTCTACTCTACTTTTCTCCACTATAACATTGATCAGATTCTACCATTCTTATCTCATCTTTTTTAAATTAATCGGCTCTCTTCTTTCTCCCAAAATGTGAAGCTCCCCCAAGGGCAAAGTTTTTCACTGTTTTATTCACTGATGGTATCACTGGTACCAGTCACACAGCAGACAGTAAACACTGTGGAGCGAAATATGAATATGAATCTTCATCCCACGATCTCTGTATGCATTTGACATTTATCTTCAAACTATATCTATCTTTGTAGTTAACGTAGAGACCTTTTAATGGAAGGCTCGTTGGGTTGTAGAATTAAGACTATCAGTCATTCTTGCCATACTTCAGTAGCCCTGTGGGCTGTTCAGTGACCCAGACCACATAGAAGAACTGGTTATTCTTCTAGTGTGATGGTCAAAACCACAGTCCTTATAGAAGACCGAGTCTAGATGGTTGGATTCCAAATACTAGATGGTTCCCAAACAACATAAAAATATAAGGAGGTATATAGGCTTGCACAAAGAAAATACCAACTGATTTATCATTAACTTTTCTTTTTAATATCTGGGTCAGATTCTCACCTGCTCTCATACCTCTGGTTGAGAAAAGCAGTATTTGGAAAGAGAAAACTGCAGTTCCTTGCAGCTGAATTTGGCTGAGATAGTCAAGTTTACATTCCATTGTTGGCTAGATCCTTACCCCATGGAATGTCTCAGAACAGGATTCAGGCCATGCAGAGGTCAGCAGTGCTTCAACCAAACACTCCCTCAGCGAATTAAACATTATACACTGACTTACACATTATACGTTATACCCCACTTAGACACGTGAGTTTTGCAAAGCCCCTTGCCAGTCCACAGTTGGGACGCGAATGGAGGAACTCACTCCCACGCATCACCTTCAGACTAGGCTCCGACACGCCCGTGTGATCATTTACTTGCTGGCACACTCGTGGCCCCCTCTGTGGAGAATGGAGGGCCAGGGCTACGTGTGATCAGTGTGGTTAACCTCAGATCTACCTTGGTATCTGTAAGCACTGGGGAAAATGGAGAGCACAGGGTGAAACCTCAGCCCTGCATGGCTTCAGGGTCTCACATTTGCAGGACCAGCTGATCAAACAGAGGCCCTGCTGGACCTGCGCCCTTGGTGCTGAAGGACTGTGAGTAAACAGCCCGGCAGGATGAGAGCGCGCGCGCGGCCTGAGCTGCAGAGAGGCCAGCCTCCCCGGGGCGCCTCCTGAAGGGGAGGCCCCTCGGCTCCACCTGCCCCAGTGGTTCTGACCCTGCAGGGCTGAGACAGGCCAGGGGATCTGCTTCTTAGGACCCTTCGGGATGCACAAATGGCGGCCACCTTTTGAGAAGCCCATCTCAATTTAAGATTTAATCTCAACCAAGCTAGTGAAAAGCATCTTGCTCAGGAAATGCTTGAAAAACAAAGCTGAATCCACCTTCATGGCTTTTGGCCTGTTCCTTCATGGAGAGGCTGTCCCTACCGCTTATCGATTCCCGATTCTGATGTCTTAGGAGGAAAACCTTCAGGCAGGGTAACCTCGTTTTACCCTACGTTTTGGCGGAGAGTGAACTCAAAGGCAACAAAATGATGTAGCAGCTGCATGGGCTGGGAGGAGCAGGACGACTTCTTCCTCCAGGGGATTGTACTTAAAGCTGATGAAGCGTCAGCGCTGCCAGTCCAGCCATCAGGGTCAGGACGCGCCGTGATCAGCTACGCCCAGGTTGCGGAGGGACTGAGCAAAGCCAGGGGCGCCACAGGTCCCACACACCCCGCGGCCGCTCCCAGCATCTCCTTGGAACGAGAGGCGGTTCACACAAGGTGACAGGGATGGCCCTCGAGCTGCTTGGCACAGGCCAGACTCCACTTAACGAGTGTTCAGAATCACACTCAGCATGGAGAAATTCACCCTGACCCTGGACGCCTGCCCCCTGGCATGCGCTCACTTACATTTTTACTCAATTACTATTTCTAAGAACAGAAACAAAAAAAAAGAAAGAAAGAAAGAAAGAAAGAAAGAAAATGCAGAGCCCCACTGCTCAGCAGTCGTGCATGGAAGGTCTGGAAGGGTCCGTGGGGTTTGCTCACAGGCGGCGAGCTAGGTAGGGCCAGAGAGCCTCCCGTTGTCCGGGAAGCCGGGCATCTTTCTCCCCGGCCACACCCTCCGAGGCACTCCTGATTTTCCCAGAGTTGGAGGAGCAGGGTGGGTTTCCAGAGTTTTTTTGGTTTTTTTAACCAAAGAAAGAGGGAAACTTGCAGGGATCCAACGACCGAAAGTAACCCCAAGTGAGAAGGCAGGTCTGAGAAGGAAAACCAGGCAAGGAACTAGGGTAGGCAGGCCTCTACACTCGCTTACTGGGGAGGAAAAGATGAAAAGGAAATTAGCTCAAAGTAGTAGATAACAGAAGTAGAAAATTAATAGGACAGGATTCCCAAGGGAAAGCAAAAGGAAGAACAAAAAAAAAAAAAAAAAAAAAGGAAGGTGGTCTCTGTGGTGTGCTGGAGGGCCCAGGGCCAGACCTGAATTCAGATTCTGGTCATCAGTGAGCTTGGTGGCAGAGGACCAGGCATTTACCTCTCCAAGCCACAGTGTCCTGACAAGTGGGGGTCGTCCCCCTGGGCCTCCCCGACCGCCCAGCATGGGGCGGATGAGGATGACCGCCTTAAGTCCCAGGGACATAAGGGGAAGTCAACAAATGTTTTCCTTCTCTCATCCCCTTCCCTTGTCTTTTCCAAAAAGCTGGTGAGAAAAAAAAAAATCAGACAATTAACTCCTGGGTTTAAACAGTGAAATAAAATACAAATTTAGAGATTAAAAACAAAAAACGGAAGTCCCGTATCGTCTATCACACAATAAGTAGCTTTAAAAGCACAGATTACACTGTTTACTATTTTGATTCACATGGCAGCTTCCAGCCACTCTGAGGCTTCCTAGATGAAAATAAATGTATATTCTCAATAAATCCTTTTTTTTTTAAACCCCAGCTTAGGCCCCTATAAATAAACTATTTCTTTTCTTGATTCCTTGACTCCTAAGAAGCAAGGTTAGGTCTGGTAAAGGGCACAGGAGGGGAGCAGACATCTGCTAGGCTAATAAAGACATTTCCTTTGTCCTTATGCGGGACCTCCACTGGTATTTAGAATCCATATAATACAAGCTTCCTCAGGGCCTCAAAAATGCGAGTGACCCAGTATCCGGACAGCAGTCCATCTTCTCCCTTCCTGACATGGATCGGGGACCACTGGGCCAGAGCTCTGGAGTGTCAGGGTCAGCTAAGACCTGGTCTTGTCTGTGGGCTCACTGCCCAGCATACAATAAACGCTGGTACTTAATAAAAGTTGGCTGAATTTATGAATGCTCTAAATCAGAAAGGGGTGAGACCTCCGGCTTCGGTGGCCCCCAGCCTAACCTGTGACCTTGGCCCTGACGAGTCTGCACCTGTTCTGATAGTCACGGCTTAGTGGTCTGAGCAAGTGGCCAGCTCCCAGGTTCAGTCAGCTGATGGCTCGCCCACAACCCCATTTTCTCATGCAACCCAGAAATGGCAATTTGCAGGTGGCAAACCATGGCATCTGCATGACTTTCCCACAGGCCTCCCGCCAGAACTGCCAAGGAGAGAAAAGCTCCCTCTCCCTTTCAGTTCAGTACCAGAGACATTAATTGAGCAATTGCTCTGTGCCAGAAATAAGAACACAGATTCAAGGAAGACACCAAAAAAAGGACCCTTGACATCCTGGCCAGACTGTTCCACCCTCCAGAAAGCATCCTCCAAGGGGTCAGGAGACGAATCTGTCCATCACCTGGTAACCCCAGGAGCGCAGATCTCAGACACCCACAACCCACTGCGATCAAGTCATCATAGGACTTCAAAGCATTCATGAGTTTTTCTGATACAAACTCAGACTCCCAAACTGGGGATCAGCTACAAGGCTGCACATCAGAATTCCACTTCGCCGCGGACAAGTTCCCCCCAGGAGACACACACTCAAGATGGATTGCTATCTCTACATCAAATGAGGTATAAAGCAGACGAGTGTACTCACCAAGGTACCCACAGAGCACCTGGGACTGTCTGGAGCACAAGCTGCCCACTGAGCCAGAGGGTGTTGTAACAACTGGGCAGACAGCTAGGAGTTTTAAAAAGCACAGTCATTAGCTATTTTACGGAGGAGACACCTCGTACAGAGCTACACAAAGATTCAACGCAGAAGAAGGACTCACTGAATGTACTCATTGTTCCCCCAGAACCTGAAGGTCCCTGCTACTCAGGGCCAGGGGACAAGGCCGTAAGGGTCTATGAGGGACTGTGGGTTCTAGCCCCAGATCTCCTGGCGTCCCTTCACTGGCAGTCAGGCTCCTGAGTTCAGGGTTCCCTTTAACATATTCTAGCGTTAAAATGACAATGTGCAATTTACATACCGAAATGGTAAAATAAATACCTTGGCTTACATTAAGGAGGGACAGGGAAGGCCTTGACCTCTTTGACAGAAGACGGCCTTACCTACTAAGAGTGGTAACTGTTTTTCATTTGTTTGGCCTCAATTTCAGTTTTCTTCAAGCCACCTGTCATGATTTCTAACCCGCACGTGAAAATTCCTTCTCCAATGATCAAAAATTCAAGTGTATGTTGGTTTGGGGCTGCTCGGCTATGGCTTAAAACTCTGGAGCTCCTTGGAATGGATTAAACATATCTGCCCTGGAAGTTATGACATCCTGAAATTTGGAACTTTCTTTAAAACAACGGCAGCAACTAGATCTCGTATATGGCCCACCACATTCTTAGGAGAGAAATTACACCCCAGACACCTCCAGGTGAAGAGAAAACACTGCTGAGCGCTCCAGGGCTGTCCTGTCTATGGTACAGTCAGTAATAACTATCGGAATTTTGCACGAGAGAATGTAGATGGACACTCCTGCTCTGTCCCTGGTTTCCTCGGGAAATCTTTTTGAACACGTGCCTTGATTCGCCCAAGCCTCTGTTGCTGTGAAATGAAGCTGACGTAATGCTGTCCCTGGAGGTTTTTAGAAGATTGCAATGAAACAGTCAAAAGAAAAAGATGGATAAAAGAGATCAAGGGACATAATGCTAGGTATGTAACTTATCTGATGGATGAATCGCTGACTGCCTCCTAGGTCAGGCATGAAAATGCTTTTTTCCCAGCTCCTTGAGTGAATTTAAAACCCACCTGGCTCCCATTCACTTAAGGTGTGTTACCTGCCTTGCAAACTTCTTGGGACAGAAGAAAAAGGCCTTGAGGATGACTGTCTGCCTGTCTTTCTATCTCTCTCTCCCAGATCTGTGCCTTTTATCTCTCAATTTGAAAACAGATAAGGAAGACTTTTTCCGTGCCCTGTAACTCCCCATCTCCAACATTCAGCCCACTAATAAGATCCTAGTGACGTGTTTTCACACCTGTGTGGATGACACCTCCCAGTCAGGAGCCTCTTTAATTGAGACGCGGGACTCGGGCTGGGCTGCGTGGCGGGGGAGACGAGGGCCCACCACGCAGGCCTTTGTAACACGCTGCTATCACGTTGCCACCACATGCCGTCACCAGCTGACATCTGCTCACACATGTTCTCACCAATAAGCAACCATGTTGTTTATTTTTAGAGCCCTCTCCACAGACTCACAGCGAAGAAAATTCCCTCAAAATAACCCGTCAGCAAAGACAGGAAGCTACAGCCTGGGTATAAACTGTTTGTCACAGGATCAGCAAGTCAAACAAAGTCTTCTCATTCATAGCTGACCTCTAAGAAGAGATGCTGAAAGTTATCTTAAAGGAAAATCTCAAGGACTATCACAGAGGAAGGCAGGGGATGCAGAGGGCCGCTTGGTTAGCAGCACATTCTCTCCCAGCGATGGCCCTGTGCGTTTCTTGGGGGGACTTCACTCCTTTTCCTGGGAAACAGCACCTTCTTCAGGCCAGTGGATGTTGTGGTGCAGAAGAGGGACGATTCTATTACCGGAATCCAGTCCCTGTAATCGCCCCAGGTCGCCCAGGGCAAAGGAGGTCGGTGTGCGGACAAGGCAAGTAACTGCTGCCATTTGTAGTTTCCAACAAGCAGTCCTCAAGTGTGCACCTTAGGTTTACTTTCACTCTGCTATGAGGCGACAGTATTAAGATGTTTCTTTCCTCCCCATCCCCTTCTTGTTGTTGTTGTTTGTTTGTTTTTAAGAAGGGCCAGAGGACAGGGTGCTCGGGTGCAGACTCAGTGCCTCAGAAGTTCAGGCCATGAATTGGATGGAGACAGAAGTGATGCTAACAGTGATGATTTAGGCCAAAGAAAGCAGCTTAGTTTTTTAAAAATCAATTTTCAACAATCTACGTGTTTGAAGTGGCACTGTGGTTTGGATAAATGTTTTCAGATCAATGAGGTTTGGGGTACCTGTGAAATGCTTTTTAAATGTGAAATGGTATGAAAACTCTGAGACATTAACAATCTTAGAGAAATAATAATTTGTAGGGGTATTAGGCACGCCCTAATTGATAATGGGGGACTATGGCTCATATAGGTCATAAGATAGAATAAGTTTGGGCCTGAACATTTTGCATGGGTAATTTACAAAATAACTAAAAGACTATGACATTAACTATAAATGTGTTAGGACTCATTTTTGCCTGTGATGGCACAGCTAAGAAATAAAACAACAAAACAAAAATACACAGTATTTTCAGAATGTGTTTCTGAACTACCTGCTTGAGAATCACCTGAGCTTCTTGTCTAAATGCAGTTTTCTGGAGCTCACGTTAAAACTACTGAAGTAATAAGGTGGATGGAGGGTAGGGGACACAGGTTTGGGCATCGGCACATATGATAAGCACTACAGGTGATTCTTCTGCTCGGTGAAATTCAAGAACCACTGCTATAGGCTTTTGTGACTTACAGGTTAGAAAGACTTTTTATAAAATTTCCCTTGACCTCAAAACAACGCAACCAGGTGGATCTAGGAAAACCTATCCTCTCATAAGGGTGGCTTGTTACAAGAATGGTTTTATGTAGTATGAAAGTGTAGATAGAGATCAAGCCATGTTTGCTGCAATGATATCTTAAGGAAGAAGATTAAATGTCATTAAAAAATGCTCCAGTCACCTTCGTGCCAACTCAGTTCCTGCTTCGGCTGCTCTGCAGCCCTGCACACAAACATCTCTCGCGATCCTACCAGTTCCCAAGGTGGGGACTGTCAGTTCCTCCCAGCACTAGACTGGGAGTTTCTACTCTACTCAGAGAATTCCCAGCCATTGTTACTGAGAAAGGGCCAACGGCTGATCCCCAGTGTATAACGACTGGGGGTCAGCTTGGCTCAGACCCTCTTTCTAGTATCCGAGGACTAGTGCCAAAAAGAATTAATGAAATTAGACATGACGCTATACAGAGTTTCCTTCTTGATTTCTCTGACAGTGGAATTCTTCTGAAATCTATCTCCCTCCAAGATACACCAGCACCCGTCACCTCGTTCTCTGGAGGAGAAAAGCGCAAGCTGGGTAGGTGAAACAGAGGCCAGCTCAGGACAAGGGTCACAGATCTGACCAGAGACTTCCATTAACACACTTAATGGGGCGAGGGGTATAGCTCAGTGGTGGAGTGCGTGCCTAGCATGCATGAGGTCCTGGGTTCTGTGTCCAGTACCTCCATTAAAAAAAAAAATTAAATACATAAATAAGCCTAATTATCTACCCCCCCCAAAAAAATTTAAAAATAAAAAATAATTTAAAAAACCCTACACTTAACAACCTGAGGCTTAATACTATGAGGTACAAGTGAGTGACTAAATTACTGCTCAGATCAAAATAACTTCACAGACACACCTTAGGGTGAGAACTGCTGTCTTAGAACCACAGGAGACAGCCATAGTTCACCTTGGGTTCTGTCTGGCTACTTCGGGTACAACTCCTACCTCTGTTTCTTTCTCCTTAGTTTCCAGAGCCCCAGATGCTAAAGTGTGAGCTTGGATGTGGAGTCACTTCCCCCACAGTAAGCCCTGACCAGCCTCCAAGGGGGCAGTTCCTCTACCACATCATCCATCTTCTGCAAAGAAATGTCCTCAGTCTGTGATTTTCTTTTTTTTTTCTCCCTCCTTCTAAAGTAGAATCAGAATAAGTCATTCACTTTTTTTTTCTTTTTTTTTGGGGGGGGTCCTTTCTCAGTCAGCAGCTTACTATAAGAGTCTACTATAAAGCAAGCAGAAACGACTTCAACGGTATCATCATTACGAAGTCAAAGCAGAAGTGAAAATGAGATTAAGTCAATGGATGTGGAAATAAATGACTGAATAAGAATGAACCACCTGCCCCATGGAAGGAACGACCAAGTTACTGATACATATGGTAGAGAAAGAATAACCCTGATGAATTTGGTCTCAGAAGTGTTGAATTACCAAGACTGAAATGAATCCAAAATTTAAAAAGTAGGCTCTGTTTTCCAGAAAGTTCCCATTTATGTGTTGGCAACAAGGACCATCTTAGTGCTCTTGAAATGCATGAAAAAAATACTGTTTTCTCTTTTAGACAGCGCTTCCTCAGAGATCTGCAAAGACCAATGCCTTTGTGATCGCTTCAGTGGCCTTCTCAAAACCAAACCTTGCATTCTGGTTCCCAGGATGAAATGACCAAGGAGGATTCTTACAACAGCTGCAAGTTATGAATGAACAGCGACTTGTGAGCTAGCCTGTGGAGACAGACACGGTACTTGTCAGGGTGCTGTGGCTTAGATAGGGAAAGCCAAGTGAACAGAGCCACGGTCGAAGTCACATTTTTCCTTTTCTTCCATGAGACTGGAAGGATGCTACAGCCTTTCCTGAAACAAACCACAGCTCCAAAAAGAGCAGTCTTGCTCTCCAACAGCTGCCCCTGACCCTCCCGTCAGAAACACCGTGTCTCTTCCTGCAAGGGATGTCCTGCTTGGTCACCACGGCCACGAAGGCCGCTGGGAAGGCCCGGAGGACGAAGGGCGTGCTCTCTGTGAACAGAGACGCGGAACAGGCCGGCGTGAGAGCAAACAGCTGCCCGAGGAGGCTGGAAATGCATCTGAACTATTTTCAGAAGGTCTGGGCTTGGCAACATCCAGAAAGCATTTTCCATTTGCTTGAAGTTCCTCAAGTTGTTGTGATTAAAGGAACATCTAA